AAAGGAAGGGGAGTGTAGGACAATACCAAAAAGAAATGTGCACAAAGTAAATTAGACAATAAAACTCACTCAGCATTCGGGAGGGGCGAAAATAAGATTATTTCTTTTTTCTCAATAGATTTTAGACTGTGTTTGTTAAAAATCCATACCGTGTACGGGTTCTGGGAAGTCGGGGGGGAAGGAGGAGTGGGGCTGGGGGGGGGGAGGGAGGGAGGGGCATACAAAAAAATTGTACTTCGATGTTTTAATGATTGACGAATGATGAAATATTTGTGTTTTAAAAGAAATAAAACCTTTGAATTAAAAAGAAATTGGGAGTTAGCTTTTCTGTATAGTATCATAAAAAAAAATAAAGCACAAAAGATAACATTACAAACAAATCCTTGACAGTGAACTCTGGAGAAACGTGGAAACGTTTCAAGAGTCTACAGTCCTTGAAACACCACAAGGCTGGTGTATATTTAATCTCCTAGGATAGATCATGTATCAGCTTGATTTCACGACACTAATTCTACTTGGGTAATACGTATCTGCTTCCCTATACAACACGCAATTGTAAAAGATATTTTTGTTTTGCCAGAGCTATAAAATTCAGATATTTTTCAGTTTCATTCTCTAACCTTAACTACATTAGTGCTATTCTGAGTTAATTCTCAAAGTAATATTGTTAGGAATATAGTCTTAACAGTTGGGTTAACAATATATAAACCATGATAATAGTGCTGTACCTTTAAGTACTGCTGTAAATGTGATTGGTTGCTGTTTCCTCAAGTGGCCATAAGATGGAGCCAGAACGACTATTAGCTCTCTGTTTGTTAGATGCCAAGCGTTGGATACTGGTTGTAGATGTGACTGTAGATGTGTCGTGTATTGCTCAGTAAATTGAATTACTGTGAGTTTTACTGTTAGCGACTTTGTGTGCTGAACTGATTATATGATACTGGACTGTGTTTGATGGATCACCCCTTAACTGAGAACATTGATGACTGACTGGCTTAACCATGTATGAATTGGACTCTGCATACCTCTATTTCCACAGAAGTAAAATACTATCTGTTTTTACAATTCAGTGTCCCCGTATGCTGGTTTATGCATTCTACTCCACCCACTCTCACTACGCTTCTCTGCATGCACTCGTTCTCCTAACGGGGAGCTTACCTAACAACTATCATAACAGCATCCTAGTCATAAATACATTTTTCTTGCTTTTGTAAAAGATGATGGTCCTCTGAAGCAAGTTGCAAGTGAACATTAAAGCCTACAAAGTACTTATATTGCCATATACCTTCATGTAGTCAAATTCTTTGGCACATAATTGAATTTTGCTCACTCACATATTGTATACACTCAGAGAAAAAGATGATGTCATTATAGAATATTGTCTTGTATTTAAATGGGATGAGGACAGAATACCAAGCCCTTGAAATAAGATTTAAATGATTGTTAGATTTTTAAGCAGTTAAATCTATATTAATCTCATCACTTACTTTATTCCAGCCTCCTCGATATATAAAAGGAAGAACAAAAGATATGCTTGTGAGCAATACTGTTATCATCATCAAGGAACGATGGATCTAGAAAAAGTTATATTCAAAAACATTAACATTAAGAGATGCTAAAGAGCAGCCTGTTACACATACTCTTTTACCAAGAAGGTTTGGCAGAAAATTCATCGGTTAAGAATAGAACGAAAAGTAAACTCTGGTGTAAGGCCTTTTGTAAGGCTTTAAAAAGTTGTACTCAGGCCTGGGCCTTGGAATGTATTAATTTCCTAAATTTGCTTTTAGTTGGTTCTCTATCTCAGCAGCTGAATGCATTTATTTTTGGAGGTTTTATTGTTTTTAATTGCTTTAACTGTTTTATAGTTTTAGAATTGTGAAGTCACCAGAATCATTTGGCTGAGATAAGCAGCTTAGAAAATGCATGGATAAATGAATAAAAATAAGTAAGAGTAAAACTTTGCTAAACATATTTTGTATACACCAAAAAGACACTTCACAATTCATTTTTCCCCACCTGAAACCAAATCTCTTCTCCAAACAGTAGAGTATGAGGCCAGACAGACTTGAAAAACCGGGCAACAATCACCCCTATGCTAACTGCGGTTATCCATCCAACAAACATTAGGGCACCTGAAAGGAAAAAAAATACCAGACACTTACTAATGACTTGAGTTCAGAGCTAAGAAGCTCAATGTCAGCGTTCCTAGTATCATGTAGAATTAAATCAGAGTCCAAGGCAAAACAATCCTTAAGGTTCCAATTTAATAAAGCAGACATCTTAGGCACATCTGTGTTAATCCCAATACTGGAAATGGCATCAGAATTCCACCCAGTTAAAAGTTCATGATCTTGTCTCCACACCCACAATCCATCACATGGTTCAATCTTCTTCTTCCACGCTGGCATCCACACCCAGCTGCTTCCAGTCAGGTGTGAAGGTACGGAGAGAAAGGATGGCTTCTAGTAAAGAATGATAACAATACATTCCACAATCTCACTCCTGTCTATTCCCCCCTCCCATCAACTATACTAAAGAAACAGCATAATGAAATAAGAGAAAGTGTGGCAGGCCAAAATTCTAAAAGGAATATAAATGCAGGCCTGACACCCTTGATCTTAAAAGTAAGCTTCCATTTTATTTCAGAGACAGAGAAGAGCAAAAGACTGTACTCAAGCTATTTTAGCTGCCTTCTGCCCTTATTTATTCTATTGCAAGCTAATCTTTGCACCGTATTTTGTTGGCAGAATTTGAATACCCACAAGATGTCCAAATGGCCAAAAAGATATTTCTTTGGAAATGTCTTAGAAACACCTTTCTTTGGAACTGAAGACAAAATAAAATAATCAAATCTTGTGAGCAGTTCGATTCTCACCAGGCTCAAGGTTGACTCAGCCTTCCATCCTTCCAAGATGGGTAAAATGGGGAGCCGGATTGTTGGGGAAGATATGCTGAGTCTGTAAGCCACTTAGAGAGGGCTGTAAAAGCACTGTGAAGCAGTATATAAGCCTATTACCATTGCTATTATAGTGTTTCACAAATTTATAAAAATTAAACTTGCCATGCATTTTGATCAGGAATGGAGAGCGGGATCCTCCAATATCTTTTAATGGACCGAGAATGTTGTATTTTCCATTTGTAATCAAAGGCTGTTGTTGGTGTTTGTAGATTTCACCTTCTGTATCGGGGGGGGGGGGGGAGAGAATAATAGATTATGCACTACCAGCAAAGGAAGAGTAAATAACATTATCTCCATGGGTGAAGACTTCAGAACATAGATTTTGTTTGCTTCAGAGACTGGTTTGTCTATGCAGTTCCAATTTGCTACTCAAAGTCAACCCCTCAAATGCTTCTAGGTGAAAATTAGCATTTCAGTGCATTCCATGTGTTGATATTATATTGATCCTTTGCCATGGATAAATTAACAACACTATGCAATAATATCATAATCATCAGTATGCTGTTTATCTCTGCTGTGAACCATTTAGGTGGTGCTATGAGTTTAGGTGGCCCTGTCTCAATCCCTCACACACAATCACACACGCCATGTGGACAACTCAATGCACTCTACAGGAGGTTGCCCTTGAAAAGTATTGGAAACTTCAGCTAGTGCAGAATGCAGCTATGTGAGTGGTTATTGTGCACTCCTCATTCACCACAAGCTACACTTCTACTCTGCAAGTTGCATTGGTTACTGATTTGTTTCTGGATTCAATTCAAGGTGCTGGTGATGGCCCTTTATAGTGCAGGGTTACTTGAAGGACCACCTCTCTCTGACTATACTATACAGTATCCGTCTACATCTAATAAAGGTGTGCTCTATGTTGCACCAGGGACGCTGTGGCTCAGTGGCTAAGATGCTGAGCTTGTCAAACAAAAAGGTTGGCAGTTTGGCGGTTCGAATCCCTAGCGCTGTGTAATGGAATGCGTTCCCGTTACTTGTCCCAGCTTCTGCCAACCTAGCAGTTCGAAAGCATGTAAAAATGCAAGTATAAAAATAGGAACCACCTTTGGTGGGAAGGTAACAGCGATCCGTGTGCTTTCGGCATGACCACGGAGAAATCTTTGGACAGTGTTGACTCTTCGGCTTTGAAACGGAGATGAGCACCGCCCTCTAGAGTCAGGAACAACTAGCACATATGTGCAAGGGGAACCTTTACCTTCATGTTGCGCCTACTAGGGATGTCATCTGGTGGGGCCCAGGAAAAGATCTTTTCTGTTGTGTTCCATCCTTTGGAACATTATTCCCCTAGATTACCCTTGATCCTACTGGCAATGCATAGGACCCAGTGGTGGGATTCAAATAATTTAACAACCGGTTCTCTGCCCTAATGACCAGCTGGGTAGGCGTGGCTCAGTGGTCAAGAGAGTGGGTTGGCATGGCCAACTCAACGTCACATCGATGGGCGCTTCGCTTTAGCTGTTACAATGGAATAAGGGTTAACTGGAGAGGCAGTTTCTGCAAGCAGGACAATGAAGATGAGGCTAGAAACAACACCAGAATGTTTCCTTCCTGCCTTCCCTACAGAATTAGCCCTGAAAAGTGGGGAAAAAACAAAAGGAGATTTCTTCCAACAACCGGTTCTCCCAACTGCTTAGAAAGTTAACAGCCGGTTCTCCCGAATAGGTGCGAACTGGCTGAATCCCACCACTGATAGGACCTTAGAAACTTGATTTTGCTATCAGTGTGGGGAACTGACTATGGATAGTGCCCATACAGTGGCTATGTTGATTATTGTTGATGGATTTTGGTGTGATGTGACTATGCACTGTGTTATTATATGGTGTTTAAATTGTTCTTACCACTTATGGGGTGGGTTTTTTGTATTGTTTGGGGTTTTTTTATATTGCTTTTAACTGCTCTGAGCCATCCAGAGTATTCTGTTTGAAATGAATGGCTATATGAATTGAAGTAATACATAAATATAATCGTGACATCAGAATCTCCCTTATGGCTAAAATTTACTTTCCAAATGTGTTAATTTACAACTCTCAGTTTAATTTGCCAGTATGATAAAAATGCTGTTTGGGAATGATGAGAGTCATTTACCACTGCTGGAAAGCAGCAATGCAGGTTAAATTCCTTGGGCCTTTCTTAAAAATGTAGCATGAAGTCTACATCTATGAAATTTCCATTGCTATTCATATTGTGAATCTGCCATATCTGTACCTATTATTAAGGCTCTTCCACAATCCCATTAAGATTAATCATGAATCCAAAATTATTTTTTCCTTCTCCAACCCAACAGGTGAAGACCAAGTAATGCTTGGAATTCAGCATGAAAAAATATGCCTGGTGTGAAACTTAAATTTAATGTTCAGGCAGATTTTTCTTCCCCTACAGTCATAAACTTTTTACCTGTACTGATTTCACCATCAGCCAGAAATATGTAATAGTTTGCATCCAGATTATATCTTCCTGTAGAAGCTGGGAGGTGAATTTTTCTTCTGAAAGCACACTGGATAAGGCCATCAGCCAGTCTCCAAGTTATATTCTCCAAAGCATTCTAAGAAACAAGCAATGCAGATTTAACTATCTCAAAAGATAAAACATCACTTATATTGTGACTGCTTCTGTCAAAAGCTTATCAGGTACTTATTAAAGAAGGAACATACCAAACCCAAACATGTTTAATTAGCTGAATTTTACGAAGCAGATAAGAAAGATTTAGCAAGACTAGTCATGGCTGCTTCCCATTATAAGTTTAGTGACCTTCTCAAATGTCTTCAGAACCATCATCCTGGCTTACAAAAACTTCAATGCTTTTGAAAACTAAAAGGCCAACCTCTAACTAGACTGGTCATTTTTCGGCAGCCAATTTGGGGCTTCCTAACCCTATTGATCACATAATTAAACAAAAACCGAATCCTTCAAATAAAGCCCGATATTGAATCATTCAAAGGACCCTTGAAACCTCAAATTACATTCCAATTAACTTGGTTATCATGTAGCATCTATACTGGTTTTCTACATTACCAGTAAAAACAGGTATATGCTGAACTTGTCAGGAATGAGGCAATGGTTTCTCTAATATTTATTGTTGCAAAAATGAAGACAGTTGAACGCAAACACCTTGATTCAACTAGGAACCTAAAATGTTGATAGTGCATGTAATTTTTTCCCCGAGACATACTAATCTGTGCATAGAATAACAACAACCCTATCTACATTCTGTAGATTCAGAAACATAATAATTACATAGAACAACTGTATACAGACACATTTTAAGTTTAGAATTCTCCGTTACATAGTACTGTTCAAAATGCATAAAAATAACTCTGCAGAGGAGAGCCAGAAACAGGATAAAGTTTCCCAAAGTGCAACCCCTTTAAACAGGTTCTTTTAACTTTTGCAGTTGTTTTCCATCACAAAAGAGGATTTCATACAGAAGTCCGGATTCTGTATGACAAAATGGGACAAAATCAAAGGTCTCCGTGGATTTTGTTACTTATCTTGACCTGTCTGTTTGTATTGTGCAAGGTATTTTGTAACAAGGGCATTCAGAGTTCAACCCTGTAATAACATGAAATTACAGTACCTTCGAGTTAAAGTCTGGATAAGATCGCCCAACCAGGGCAGCTGTCCTCATGTTAACAGAATAAACTTCACTAATGCAAAAATATGCATCATCACCACCACCCTGGAATGACAAGAGATTATTAAACTGTTTTTCCACTTTACTTCGCAAGTCTACACAACCCATATTCAAATTTAGAGTAGGTTAATAACTAAATGCAGCCTTCCCAAATGGTATTCTCTAAACATGTTACATTAGGCACAGACTTAACATGCTAGATGTGGTTTAGTCATTTCATAAATTGGTAATTTTCATTTTTCTTTCTTTCTACCCATGGACGTATACACATATACGTGTGTGTGTGTGTGTGTGTGTGTGTGTGTGTGTGTGTGTGTATGTA